GTGCTGGGGGTTGGGCAACAGAGCAAGGACCGTGCTGGGTGGGTGTGAGGACAGGAGGGGTGGCTGGGGTTGTCCGCAGCATGAGAATTGTGCAGATGGAGAGCAAGGGCATGTTGTCCCTCTGGCCTCTCCGCCAGCTGCTGAGGGTACCAGAGCACCAACCCACCCTCTCTCCCCCTCCTCTGTCCCCAGAGTACACAGGGTTCCGCCTGGTGAACGGCAGCACAGTGTGTGCGGGGAGGGTGGAGGTGCAGGTGCTGGGGACCTGGGGGACCCTCTGTGCCTCCCGCTGGGATCTCTGGGACGCCCACGTTCTCTGTCGTCAACTCAACTGCGGGTTTGCTGAGTCCATTCCTGGGGGAGAGCATTTTGGGAGAGAGACTGGCCCTGTCTGGAGAGACTCATTCCACTGTGACGGGACTGAAGCCCACCTGCAGCAGTGCCCAGTGACCACCCTGGGGGCCTCACCGTGCTCCCGAGGGAACACTGCTGCTGTCATTTGCTCAGGTGAGTGCCAGGAGAATGCTGCATTCACTCCATTGGTCATCTGTGCACGTCATGGCCACCCAGAGCAGGGCTCCCGTGGCCATAGCAGGCTGACTTTCTCCCCGGAGAAGCCCTGGCTTCCCCAGGAGCCATCTGGAGGGCTTTCCCTGCTCAGAGTGAGCGCTGCGCTCTGGGAGAGCTGAGGACTGAAGGGAGGCAGGCATCTGCCCCCAGGGCAGGGGCTTAGGCCCCAGTGCCACCACCGCCAGGCCTGGGCTCCTCTGTTCTCGTACTGTGCAAGGAGCCCAGGACAGGGCTGCAGGGCTCTGCCCCATCCCTCTGGCTGCAGACACCCACATCCCATCCCACAGGGAGCCCTGCAGAGCCTCATCCCAGCACCCAGCAGGAGCTGCCTGGGTGCCCCCAGCAGCAGCAGACCTGGGTGTGAGGTGCAGGGAGTGCCCAGGCTTTGCCCTCGCTTCTCCTCAGCACAGGCTCCATCTCGTCCCGTTTGGTGGGGAAATCCCCCCTCGCCCCCTCCCTGAAGGGTGCCATGCTCCCGGTGCCGCCCTTGGCCGGGGCATCTCTGCTCTCCCCAGGCTCGGCCGGCTTTGGATCCCTGCGGCTGGTGGGCGGAGGGAGCCGGTGCGACAGACGAGTGGAGATCTTCCAGGACGGGGCGTGGGGCAGAGTCCTGGATGACCAGTGGGACGTGCAGGAGGCCAGCGTGGTGTGCCGGCAGCTGCGGTGTGGGGAGGCCGGGACAGCCTACAGCCCCCCAAAGGCTGAGCGAGGGACGGGCCCCGTGGGGCTGCGAGGGGTCCGGTGCGCAGGGCACGAGGCCAACCTGAGCCTCTGCAACACCTCCCTGCCTGAGAGCGCGCTGGCGGCAGGGGTTGCGGAGGACGTGGGAGTCGTTTGTGGGGGTGAGTGTCACTGCGCAGGCCCCCGGGTGACGTCTGTGCGGGCAGGCAGTCCCTGGCAGCAACTGGGGTTTGTACCCGCTGCAGGGAGCCGGAGGCTGCGGCTGGTGAACGGGGCCGGGCGCTGCGCGGGGAGAGTGGAGATCTACTACCAGGGCGTCTGGGGGACGGTCTGCGACGATGGCTGGGATCCGTCTGATGCCGCCGTCGTCTGCCACCAGCTGGGCTGCGGAGGGGCAGTGGAGGCAGCCGGCTCTGCTCGCTTCGGGGAAGGCTCCGGGCAGATCTGGCTGTCTGGTGTGAACTGCTCCGGGGCCGAAGCTGCTCTCTGGGACTGCCCGGCTGGGCCCTGGGGGCAGCACGACTGCGGGCACAAAGAGGATGCGGGAGTCATCTGCTCAGGTCCGTGCCAGGAGCTGTGGTGGGAGCCTGGTTCCTGGGGAGGCCAGGATGCGGGGAGAGCCGGGCATGGCTGAGGCTGTCCCTGGCTGCCTCTGAGCTCCTGCCCGAGCCCATCCTGTGGGCACACGTGCATGGGCACCCTCAGCCCCACTGGGGGTCCTGGGGAGCTCAGCCCCTCCGAGGTTTCTCGGGAGGGGCAGGGGTGTGTGTCCATCAGGCACTTCTCTCTGGCCCTGGGTGCAAAGGGGATGTGCTGGCCCTGCCCCTGACTGGCTGAGGGCCTGGGGGTGCAGAGGTGTCCTGGCTCCCACAGCCCAGGGCAGCCTGTTCCCCTCTGGGGCCTTTTCCTCCCAGAGTTCACGGCCCTGAGGCTGGAGAACAGCGACGGCTGCTCTGGGCTCCTGCAAGTTTTCTACAACGGGACATGGGGGAGCGTTTGCTCCAACTCGATGACTGCCGACACGGTGACGCTGGTGTGCAAGGAGCTGGGCTGTGGCGATGGAGGAACCCTGGAAAGACGCCAGCCGCCTTATAGGGAGTCTGGCCCTGCCTGGCTGGATCGTGTGCAGTGTGGGGAGAGCACCAGCTCCTTCTGGCAGTGTCCCTCCACTCCCTGGAACCCACAGTCGTGCCAAGACCCGCGGGAGGAGACCAACATCACCTGCAACGGTAACTCTGATCCTCCCGGGTACTCAGGTCAGCCCAGCTCCTGCTCCCCACTGCCATGGCCAAGCACAGAGAAAGAGCTTAGAGGGGCTTTTCCTTTCCGTGTCAGACCCTTCTGCTGCCTGTGGCACAAACACGACCACAGCCACACCCGTCCCACAGCAGTTGCCACCCAGGCTGCCGGCAGCGCCTGGGGGAGGCAGAGGCATCTCCAGGTGAGGTCTCAGAAGAGACCAGACAGGTTTCAGAAGAGCCTCCCCTCCATAGACAAGCTACTGCTGTGCTGTGAACCAGGGAGCTCTTGGGGCTGAGCACTCGGGGTCCCCCCACAGCCCCGTGCGTGTCCCCTGCACGACCGCAGCTCAGTTCTGCCATGACCAAGATGGTACCGGGAGGCCCAAGCAGAGCTCAGCCCCGCTCTCGTCTGCATGGTCCCCCAAACCAGCCCCCTCACCACAGTGTTTCCTTCTTCAGGGGGACGCCCAGAAATGCCCCCGGCCCCGTTGGCCCCGTGCCCCAACTCCTCGAGCTGCACCGGTAAGGAGTTGCCCCTCTGTGTCTGGCAGGGCTCTGCCTGCTGCCCTGGTGCCATGGGAGGTCTTTGCCTTCTCCAGGCAGGGAGAAGATTCGTGCCGTGGGCGGTGAGGACGGGTGCTCGGGCAGAGTGGAGGTCTGGCACCGTGGCTCCTGGGGGACGGTGTGTGACGACTCCTGGGACATGCGGGACGCCGAGGTGGCGTGCAGGCAGCTGGGCTGTGGCCCTGCGGTGTCTGCCCTGCGTGAGGCTGCCTTTGGGATGGGGACGGGCCCCATCTGGCTGGAGCAGGTGGAGTGCCGCGGGACGGAGCCGTCCCTGCAGGACTGCTGTGCCCGGTCTGGGGACGGCGGTGCTTGCCGCCATAAGGAAGATGCTGCCGTGCGCTGCTCAGGTGAGTGGCAGGGCTGGGACCCCTTGGTCGGGCACTGGCAGGGAGCTGGGGAAGACCTTTAGTCCATGAGGTCCTGACATGGCCCCCGACCTGCCAAGAGCAAGAATGTTCCTGCAGAGTGCAGGAGGCCGGTGCCAGGCAGGGAGCAGCCTCGGTTGAACTGGATGTGCTCTGGCCACTGCCCATGGGGCCCTGCAGCCCCAGGGCTATCCCCTGGGCTGCCTGTGCCATCCTGCCTGCCTCCCAGAGCAGGGGCGCTGGGCCCTGGCCTGGCCTCCCTTTGGGGCACTGCAGGAGGGGCAATTTGGGTTGGATGTGTCAGGGCCATCTACAGACACCCCCATGGTGTGCTGGGGAGAGGCTCCCCGCTCTCCGCACACCCACTGTCTCAGCCCCGCTCTCCTTTTCCTCCTCTGCAGCGACACCCAGGATGGCAACATCCCCTCCCCAAGCAGGTAAGTTGTCCTCCCGCTGGGGCTGGGTATCCCCGGGGCCAGGCTGTGACTCACAGATGGATGGAAGGGGCTCCTTGCTGGGCTGTGAAATCTGTTCAGGAGTCACTGGGGTGCTGTGAGGGTGTGAGGGAGAGTTTTCATTTCGTCACAGGGTGGAAGCTTCCCCACACTCACTCCTGGAGCCCCCCAGCTAATCCTGCCTTGTGTGATGGGGTCGGGACTGGTTCTGCCTCCACCTCTCCCACGTCTTGTACTTCTTCCATGTTCTCTCCCCTGCAGTTGCCACCCGAGGCCGTCAGAGCAGCAGCGGGAGTGTCTCAGTGCCCGTCATCATCTGCATCATCCTGGGGGCCCTTCTCTGCCTGCTCCTGGCCCTCCTGGCTGGGCAAGTGCTGAGCGCCAGGGCTGGGCGCAGAGGTGGGTCCTTCCCCAGAGGTGCCAGGGGGAGATACCTCCTGGAAGGGCTGTGGGGTGCTGTGGGGCGTGTCAGCCAGGGGCACAAGCAGAGTGGGGGATGAGACTGTGTGCTGCCACCCTCTCATGTCCTGCCCCACTGAGTGCCTCTCCGTGGGCCACCAGCTGCAAGGGCTGGAGACAGCCCAGAGGTGGGGGGAGCTAGCGATGGGGCGAGGAGAGAAATGGCAGAGTGGGGACGGCCAAGGCTGGCAGTGCTCTAGGTACTGCTGGAGGGGGCTCTGGGGCAAGGGAGTTGCTAGGAGGAGTGCAGGGCAGCAGGGCCCATCACCATGGTGTCAGGCCCAAGCCTGTCCCTATGCCCAGGCCTGACCTCCCCCCAGGAGCCATGGGGCAGACAGAGACCAGCTCCAGGTACAGAGGAAATGTGGGAGCTGCTCCAGGGGGAGGTAAGGGGGACATGACCCAGGGCCAGAGGGACATGAGCGCTGTCTTCCAAGGGATGGTGCGATGGTGACGCAGCCCCAGAGCATCTCCACAGCGATGTTGCCCTCACGGGGGATGTGGCAGCCGTGCCTGGGCAGCACCGTGGGGCTGTGCTGTCAGAGCAGTCCTGGGCTGGCCCAAGGCACTGGTTTGGGGGAGCACAGTGTGACCCCACTGCCCCTCTGCCTGTCCCTGTGCCAGCCCTGCTTCTGTCCCCAGGCTCCAGGAGAGCTCAGGAGCCCTTCCTCGAGGCCGTGTATGAGGAGATTGGCTACAGCCCAGCTTTGGAGAAGCAGGCCAGGTTTGGTCACTCAGGTGGGTGTGGGTCCTCCCTGGAGGCACATCTGCAGGACCCTTTCAGCTGGCCCCAACCCAGAGCTGATCCCCTGAAGCCCCCCGGTCCATGGTCCCTCTGGTGCTTGGTCCGTGGGGTCTGTGGGGAGAGCATCCAGGTCCTGGGCCCAAGAGAGAAGCTTTCTCCCAGTCAGATCCGACTGTCCCAGCTGGAGAGCCCCTCTCTTCCTGCCCTGCACCCCCTGTGGCACCTGAGGAGTGAGGGCAGGGGCTGGCCTAGGGCAGCTCTGCAGCAACTTTGAGACAGGGATTGTCCCGGGGGAGCAGAGTGAATCCCCAGCCCTCCTCCCCTTGCAGCCCCAGCTCTGTGGGTCCCCCTTCCCCAGCAGCGCTGACCATGACCCAGGTCAGTGGGGCTTGCTCCAAAACACCCGCTGTGCTTCTCTTCAGAGCAGTCCCTGACCCAGCTGCAGCCCTACCCTGGGGTCAGCGAGGAGGAGGATGATGTGGGATCAGCACCAGGTAACGGAGGAAGGAAGGGGTTGATCTCCCTGCAGAGATGTGATGGACAGAGGAGTCACTGAGTGTCACCATTGGGGATGGGGAGGACATGGGCATCTCCTGTGGTGCTGCCAACCCAGTGTCTGTCCTGGCTCCCTGCGCATCCTCCATCCTCTGCTCTGCAGGACGTCTCTTCTCTCTGTCACCAGCTCCCCTCTCCTTTCAGATGTCCTTGTCCTGCCCAGAGATCACCCAGCAGATGGCTACGATGACGCCCGAGAGGTTTCTGATCTGGGGGAGGATGCTGTGCCTGGGCAGGGAGAGTGGGAAATGCCCAGGATGCCGGAGGAGGGAGCAGGCCCCAGGGATGCAGCCAGAGGTGAGAGGGAAAGACAGCGCTGGCTGTTCCTAGGGTGCCATCCCTACTGCCCCCATGTCACTACTGTACTAAGGCCCAAACCTCCTGGGAAGGCAGAACCTGCCTGGGAGTTTTCCTTGAAAGGCCTGGGGGTGGGAGAAGGAGCTGAATGTGGTGAGGAGCAGGGAGGGTGTTGGGGTACAGACCCCAAGGGTGAACTGAAACGTCCAGCTTTGCTGCTTGCAGGGGTCACCCCACGCTCGCGGAGAAGTGCCGAGGTCCCTGGAGCTGAAGGAGACACCTCGTCCCTGTCCCCGGGGAGCATGGGCTATGATGATGCTGAAGAGGTGTCTGTGGCACATCCCCATGAGGACCCAGCGCCTGTGACACTGTAGCTTGGTGCACAACAGTCCCTGAGCCCCCGGCCAGGAGAGCCCATCCCTGCCCTGCAGCTGGGTGCAGCCGGGAGGGAGGAGAGGTCTGTGCAGCTGGGAGAGCCCAGAGCACCAGGGAACCGACTCCCTTGGCCCATGGGCAGCAGAAACCTCCTGGATTGTCCTCTACTTTTATTCCCTTTCCTATGCTGTGCCTCCTTATTTGTTCTTATTAAAAGTCTCTGGGGGCTTTGACCCAGGGCTGTCCTTGCCGGCCAGGTGTCAGGGCATTTCCTGAGGCTGGTCGGGGGAGCAGAGAGCAGACTCAGTGGTAGGGAAGGGCCGTGTCTCAGGACAGAGGTTTGTGGTCCCTGGGGAATAATCTTAGTGTCAGAAATATTTCCATCCCGCTGGCCACAGGCAGTTTCTAGTCAAAATGTCTCTCTGATTGTTCCCGTGATGTACCCCGGTGGGAGCACCTATCTCCTCATCCGAGGGTTCCGGCTGCTCTTTCCCCCAGGCCCTGACTCGGCCACAGGGATCCCACAGTGCAGAGGCCATGACAGAGCTGCCATGTCAGGGGAAGCCCTGGGCTTTGGCTCACAGAAGTGAGCCTAAGGTGACCACAGGGCCCGGAGCACCCCAGCCTGGCCAGGGGAGATGGTACCGTGCAGACACTTCCCTTGGTGCCCAGGGCAGGCCCCAGCATAGAGTGCAGAGCCGCTTTCTGGTCAGATGGGGCTGGGATTCTGGCCGGATTCCCTGTGGGGAGCAGCTGCAGCTCTGCAGCCCTGCAGACAGCAGGATCTGGCCCTGGAGCAGAAGGGGGAGGAGGCAGATGTTGGGAACACCCTCTCCCATTGCAGTGTTGGCCCATTCCCTGCTGGGAGCTCCTCCACCCCTGGGGTGACCCTGGGGGGAGCTGGGGGGAGCTGAGGTTCACACATCCCTCTGCCCCACACCCGGAAGCCTTCTTGCTGGCAGCCCCCATGGGAGACCAGAGTTCCCCGGGCAAGACCCCCACGCTGATGGGTGACATACACGGGCAGTGCAAACACAGCCTCCAGCCCCTGACCAACTCCCACTGGGATAAGCTCCAGCCCTGCATCTCAGAGGAATCAGGTCTGAACGTGAAGTAAAGAAGGAGAGGGGAGTGTTACCTTCTGGACACAGGATGGTGGGCGCCCCTGGGCACTATGGCCTCAAGGTGCCCCAAGCGGGGCCTGGGGAGAAGAGCCCAGTGCCTGTTCCGTGCCACCTCCCCGCCAGCTCTGCCCTCCCACAGGTGTAATATTTCTGCCTTACTCCGGCAGCTGGTAGAGGTTTGGCTCTTCATTCCAGGCCTGGGTACGCTGGAGCGGGCAGCACCCCTGAGCAGAAGGAACCTGTTTCATGGCATTTGGGCACCTGAACACTCTGGCCCTGATGGCTGGGTCTGTTCTCTGCAGCCAAGCAGGACTGTCACTGTGCCCCAGAGCTGGGGGTGCTCCTGCAGCTCCTGAGAACCTGAGGGGAGCGCAGTGAGACCCCAACCCTCAGCACTGCAGCCCCACACCGGGCAGAGCTCAGCTGTGGAAAGCCCACGGGAGATCAGCCTTATTTCTGAGTGTGGGCTCACCATGCCCAGGGGCTGGGCACCCTGAACGGAAAGTCCGTGTCTCACACCCCATTTAGTTGCCAGTGTCTTGCTGGGGGAGCAGCCGAGGCACCATCTCCCGGCTATCGCCGCCTCTGCGTGGCTTTGGACAGGCCTGTGCCTCTCCAGTCCCACCAACACAGGGCGATGGAGACACCAAACACCCCAGGAACAAGAAGTGGGCACCGGCCCCACCAGCCCCCCTTGGCAGGGCTGTGCCTGACCTCAGCATCTCCAGGTTCCCTGAGCTGAGGCTCTGCTCCACCCAGTAGCGATGGTGGAAGGAGAAGGACCTGGAGATGGGGTCGGGTAAGAAATATCCCTCCCCCATCTGGGATTCCCTCAGCCCTGCCAGGCTCACCCAGCTCAGAGCCCGCTACCTGCTGGCACAGAGGAGGCTTCCCATGTGCTCTGGGATCTCCACCTGGAGAAAGGACAATCTCAGAGCCCCACCCCTGGGAAGCCACCAGGGCAGTGTGGCCCTGGTCCCAAGGGACACCTGGGCTGCACCAGCACACTCACAACACGTCTCTCCGTGCAGCCAGAAAGGATTCTGTTGGGACATTTATAAAGAAAAAGGGTCATTCAGTATTGCTATATGCGGCGGGCGGAGGAAGCAAGCAGCCGATTCAATGTGAATGATAGAGCGAGCTTCAACTTTATTGAAAGAAATCACACCTTATATAAGCAGTCTACAGTACACTACTTGTAACTCTATTGGATACATTTAAACAGCTATATTATAATATCTCAGCCATTGGGTACATCTAAAAGGTCACATTATAATATCCCAGCCCCTTTTGGTATTTCTGGTATGCCTAAACATTTTTCTTGCTTTGAACCTCTTTCCCTCCCAGGGCTGTTTTTTTTTTTAATCATCCCCAAGGCCATAATGCGCCCCAATTATCTCTTTGTTCTCACAACAGCCCCTGTTAGCATCACTGAGCCTTGAATCTCCTTCCTTGTTAGCATAACTGTACCCTGGGTTTTTTCCTCTGTTTACCTCAGGTGGTCTGTGACCGACTCCTGCAGGAGCTACGGCCTTGTTCTGCGAACCATTCTCCAACAATTCACCCTTTTTCTTTTTGTGCAGGCTGCACAAGCATAAATTCACTAATATTTCTGATGATACGACTATATGCTATTTTAATACTTACTGCAATCAATAATATTATTCCTAATCACCGCAATAAACTATTAAAGGTACCCTATTAAGTACAGAGCATGCCATACTACCTATATTCAAGGGATATGACTAAATACTACAAAATAAACAGTAAGGAAAGTACGGAATAGCACACTTAACTAATAGAAGTACTAACATTCAGATCCGCAATTGCTAGGGAACCCTGGATACAGCGAGAGTTTAGAGTGCCCTTCCTCACAAACTGGAAACCCTACGTGATGCGTCCATCCGTAGGTGAGGCATCCAAAGTCGCTGCAAGCAGGTCCAGCCTCTAAATCAACAGGCCAAAATAAATGGCAACTTTCTTTGAGCGGAAACATCTGATCTCATCCTCCTGTTGGGTTCCACCTGGAGCCTGGCCAGTACTCCAGGGGGAAAACCAAGGGAGTTTCTAAATAAGGTTAAATACTTGAGCTCTTAATTCTTAATATTACTAAACAAAGAAAGTTGAATACACACATTCTTACAGCATCTTATCCTTATTAATAACTATATTTTATCTAAAGTACATCTTGCATAAGTGACTAGTAAGCTTATATATTTCATTAAGGAGTTTCAATTACTGTTAGCATTTTCTCTTAAAAGAAATGGCAACTGCTGTGTAGTTTGTTCTGTTGCAGTAGCAAACATCACTCAGACATTCTGCTTGAATGATCAGTCAAAGAGATCGCAAACTGTCGGCACAGGGGCACCCACAGCACCCACAGCTGGATCCTGAGTGCGGCTGCATCTCACCCTCAGGGGTGGTTGCACACACCTTGCTGGTGACCATTGGAGACCGAGACCTGTGGAGACACCAGCATCACCTCTTCCCCAGGTTATTAAAGGAAATGGTCCTTCCCAGTTACCTCTGTCTAGGTTTTGTTAACACTTGAGCTTTACTTTGGACTTCTTGTTGATCTGGTATCTATGATGAAAAATGACACAATACTGGTGGCACCTGTGAGACAGGGGAAATGTTTAAAATGTTCATGACATATAATGCCTTATTTAGCCTTTTGTGAGGTGTAGATTGGTATCTTGCATCTTGCCCCTTTGTTGTTGTTGTTGTTGTAACAGACACTTTAGCTGCTAGATGTGTGCTTCACAGTGGCCTGACCGGCCGGTGAATGGGGAATGCAGGTCAGATGCTTGACTCCCCGCTGTATGACAGGATGCAAACAGTGCTCCAGAAAAGGTATTAACAGACACATGTACATATTTTAACATTTGAAATGCAGCTAAGTGAGTAATAACAGATTGCTAAAATTCTGAGGAGATGAGTCCCCAAGAGTGGACACCACTTCCCTGTTGAAGAGATGGAGTCTGTCTGGTATTCAGGGCGAGTTGCAGTGATGTCATTAGCTGGATGCCTTGATAAAGAAACCTGGTTTTATATTGCTCTGGCATTCTGGTGGAAAAAATGCGTGCGTTTTACAGCAGAGCAAATGGCTGAACTAGAGCCAAGATCTCTCCGCCCTTTTCTTTTTTTTTTTTTTTTTTTGCAAAAGCACTTTCAAGGTCTAGCGTGTTCTTTCCATGATAGCTTGTCCTGTGGGGGAATGCAGTATACTGCCGATGCTTGTTAGCTATACGGTGAAGATCTTGTTTTGCCTTCTCTGCAAGTACTTTGGGTGATGTCAGTGAAGGATCTTTTCACAAAATATCAAAAAAGTTATGCAGATCATCGTGAATTAGGCCTACGACGGCTGTATCTAATTTATGGTTCCTAACAGTGACTGTAACTCTTTTAAAGTTTTAATAACAGTTTTAAGTTGTTGCAGGACAATACACACAGGTGATTCGGTTTACAAGGTTCGTGTCAGGGTGGGTTTCAGGGTGGGTTGTGCTACAGTGGTGATTAAGACAAATTTGATCCAACTTGAGTTCCTCATCAGTTACAACCCCAAAATGCAATAGGGGTTTCCAATATAAATGGATGAATATTTGCTACCCAGCTTTTCTGGGCCTCTGACATGAATGAGATCCTTGCTTTAAATTGGTACAGCATGACACCAACCCTGAAAAGCATTTGAGGTACCGGAGCTAACAGCCAATCTGCTCACAGATATTATGGTCACATCTGCACCAGTATCTAAAATGCCTGTCAGCTCCACAGAATTTTTACCTTTAACAAGAGTGCATTTTATCAGAAGTTAACCTTGTGTCACATTTAAGTCCAAAAATATTTAAGGAGTACCTGCTGAACCAAATCCTGAG